GTCTGAACATAGAGCGTCCAGTGAGAGACGTTTTGCGCTTTTTGGCCGCTCAAAACGCGTTTGGTGTGAACGTAGCATAATGGTAAAATCTAATAACTTTGGTCAAAGGGGAGGGGCGGGCCAAAGAGGAACGAGAGTTTATGTTGGATTAGTAAATCAACCAACKGGTTGCTGCAGTCAACAAAAAATATTTATAATAGTTTTTTTTTTAGTTCATGTGACAAATTTGTCGCTAGATTTAATGAGTTTTCAGACTTCTTTAGAGATGTTTAAAATTTGTGTAAAAACATCACCGTACGTGTGACCGACAGCAGCTGAATGCTATATGAAGCTATGGATGCAATAAGTACAACTAGCAGCAGACTACAGTAAAAAACAATATATTACTGAGGTTTACTGTACCTGTTGATGGACAGAAAGTTCAGAGAAAGGGTCCAGGTGGTCCTGTGAGGGTCTTTTAGCTCAGATAWAATACTTGGAACAGACGATAGGACGGTGATTGCACTTTTTACTTTTTAACATTTAAATCTAAATAGGAAACCTCTTAAACATATTGTAGGCTAAATCRCAATGCTAGGCAAGATTTTAACTCACTGTGCAGCATGTTTTTGTTACCTGCACACAAACTAGAGTGAGTCAAAATTCAAAAGACACCCTCTTATTTAAAAAAAAAAAAGGAGAAAATTACAGTCTGACCACTCCAGYAACCAGTAGGGTATGGTTTTGCTAATTAACAAACAGCTAAAAGGGGAACTAATATTTCCTTTAGCAGATTTTTTTTTTTTTTTGCTAACATTGAAAACCATTAGTGGACCCATTAGCTTCTGTTAATGGGGACCTCCAGTCAGGCTATTTGTAGAACATTAGTCATGTTGTGCTCAACACCGGAGCATACAAACTTTGGTACCAGCTTGGTTTCAATCACACTGTGACTGAAACTAGATGTGCTGGTGTCACTGTGATCACAGCAGGAAGGGAGTCTCTGGGGTTTTTGTGTGTGGGTGTAGTTTAGGTCAGCTATGATTGGTCAGATGGACTTGTGGGGGAAGTTAAAAGATCATGTGAACGTGTAAATATAATTTATTGACTTTCTACAGTTTAAAATAGAACAATGTCTCAAATAAAAATTGTGAACATGTATAATTTATTGACTTCAAATTCGGTGCGGCTAGCGCCTTCCTGTCTGAATTTAACACTAATATTAATGTTTGTGTTCAAAAATAATCTTTTCCAGGTGGGTTCGTACAGAAGAGTTTTCACCAAATAATAATCTTTTAATTACAAGATCCTGAGCTCATAAATATGAGATGAGATCTCATAAGTCTGAGAAAGGACAAGGAGCTAGGATTTTGCAGGTAYTGGATGTCACAAGAAGAACTATTTCAGCCGGACATGTTTGTGTGTAATGCTGAACGCACAAGTGCTCAGACTGAGTTGTAGTTTAATAAAGTTATGACTGGGTTGAAACAGACMGTTTGCTCTTTGCAAACATACAGACCTTAATATAACATTGGACAGTTCTTTAGAACAGTGGTTCCCAAGGTATTAACCTCAAAGCCCCCCCCCCCC